CACTGTTTTCAACCATTAAAAAAAGTTCACGTGAAACTCGCTCCCTTAAAAGAAAATCTTAGCACCATAAGACTATCATTTAATAAACAAAGGTTAGAATAAACAAAAACAAAATTAAAGAATGTGAAAAATGCTATCTGTTCCATACACAAACTATTATTTCCACTAAATTTGTTTTTCCTTTTATTTGTTTTTTTCAAAAGCTTTTATCTCTCATTTAAACAAACCCTAGCTACGGACAGAACAATATATATTTATAGGCAAAACTACATTTCAATTCAAGTGGTTAGTAAATTAGGTTTTCAAACCAAATCTTCCATAAATAATCTGTTAAAGTAGTTATATAAAAAAGGGGGAAATTAGAGCTATGTATATTTTTCCCTTTTCCCCTTCAAAACTAATATTCAAAGTTCATTTCATAGAATTTCTTTGTGTTTCATTTTAAGCTTTTTTTCAGTTATGTTATGTCTGAATCCATCACTGTTCTAGCTTTTGTTTCTATAGGATGAAAGTGGAAACTGGCATGTGAGTGCAATAGCAACATTAGTAGACATGATTGGAAGTGCTGCTCCCTACACAGTTAACCAATGTCACCATGTCACTCTTGACTTGAATATCTCATACTACTCAATGGCAAAGGTTCAGGTAGTCTTGTGTTCATGTTGACATCTAAATATCTTTGGTTTTTGTGAATTTTTGAAGACTTTTGCATCCTTGAGTCCAATTTCTTTACTCACCAAATGCATTCATTAATTCTACCCGCCAACAATAGGAAGAGGTTGAAATAGAAGCAAAGGTTTAGGAAAGAAGGATGATTTAACTTCAGTGATTGTGGAAGTCAGGAAAAAGCAGAATGCAGAATTGGTTGCTCTACCATGTGAAAGTAAACTGTTTCAATCAACCTCATTCAAACTGACATGTTGTATACTCCTTCTATTATAGAAATTACTTTTAAACAATGAATATCATGTTCTCTTCCTTTAGTGCTAAGGTTAAAGTGAATAGTTTTCAAGCTTTGTGAGACAATGGATCAATTGTGTTTGGAATCATGGAAGGATCATTGGTACAGTCGTTTGGAAATTCATCAGAGTATGCTTTAAAAGCCATTGTTTCATCCTTGGTTTTAATTATATTAGAGTAACAATTTTACTATGGAGAAAATATGCATCTTGACATACCAATACCGTTTATACATACATCAATAGCTGCTGATATCTGCAACCACTACACATATCAAAACATAAGTAGTGCATGTTCCTACAAAGTTCAACATCTCAACTTGTAAAGCATATACTTTTTCCATTGTTTTCACTAACTTTGACTACATTTTCAATAGACCCTCAATTATTCATTGTCAAATCTAGTTAACTCTTTTCACATTTAAGCCAATATCTTCTTCACTGACATGTGATGCCTTGCTCACAGTGCCATTTTGAGCTAATGGTTTCTCATTTGAATTCTTCTGGTTTCTCATTTGATCAATTGTGGGTCCATAAGCCCAGCTGCATACTAGATAATACAGTATATTAACAGCATTGAGTAGAGCAAGAAGCCAGTAGTACTTATCATAACGACCCTTGTTAATGTTGTCTGAAATCCAACCTTGTTTTCCACCGCTTGAAGTAACGTTTTCTATCACGCTGAATACAAAACTAGATACCAAGTTTCCTGCAGCCATTCCAAGTCCAAAAAGGCAAGATGCAATGCTTGACATAGTTCTAGGAAACTCTGTGTAATAGAACTCATTTTGGCCTATGGCATTGAATGCTTCAGCCAAGCCTGCCAAGAAAAGTTGAGGAACAAGCCACATTCCAGACATATTCAACACTGCATTCATGTCATTAACATGTCTCTCCCTGATTGCTCTACTTCTCCTTGTAGTCTCCACAATTGCTGCAGTTGCAAAGTGGAGTAAAGAGAAACCCAACCCAATTCCCATTCTTCTCTTGGCACTGATCCTAACAGGTTTTCCTACAATCTTTGATGCTAGAGGAATAATGGCACGATCGTAAAGAGCCACCCAGAGAAATATTGTAATCACCAAGACTACAGAAAAAGAACCTGCTGGAACTTCAAATTTAGAAGTGATGTGCCTTTTGAGGGATTTAGCTTGCAGTATTCCAAAAGATCCTCCAATGTTAACTGACACCATGATCCCTGTAGACCACAGTGGAATCACTTTCATGATAGCTTTTAGTTCTTCCACTTGTTCTATTGTGCAGAGACTCCACGGATCCGAGGCTGATCCATCACTGGCTATATCCTTTTCAGGATCTTGAATTATGCAAGCTTTATTCAGAAACCTGGAAAATAAAGCATTGCAAGAAGTTCATAATTTTTTTGATACAGTGAACAAGCACAACATAACATGTTAAAATAGAATAAGGATAGCATGACAAACGTTGACATTCATTTGACATACCTAACAAGGATAAATGATCTTAAAAGAATGATTTTTTTTTGTAGTTTTTCGAAAAGAAAAATTTTCTTGACACACTTAAATTTTTTACATTCATTTGTCACTATCTTTATTCACTTTTTTTTTTCTTGGAAAAATACAAAACTTTACACTTTTATGATCATTTTATCTTTATATCCTGTGTGAAAAGTGTGTCTTGGTACCATTTTTCTTTCAAAAAATAATAAAATAAGGAAGGGCAGTGTCATAAAAAAAAGTTATGAGTCAAATTATCATCTTTCTATAAGGATAAGATAACGATAGTGTTATGTTATCGACCTTAGTTTTTCATCAGGAGCAAGAAGATCAGAGTCCTTCCTACGATGGTACATTTCAACTGAGTTACTTGGTGGTAAAGGAAGCTTCCGGTTCTTGTAGGCCACAACGATTACCTGTGCTAGGCCAGTGATTAAGCTGCCCTGAACTTTGTGCTTTACATAAAGTGGAGAAGCAATGAAAAAAGATAAAGTGGACATGAACATAAGTGCTGCTGGAACTCCAAAACCCAGTTTCCACCCAAAATGATCTTGGATATACACTATGACTGTAAGGGCTATTATGACAGCAAAAGCTGTAAAAGCATAATACCAGCTGAAAAATGTTTCTAACACCCTTTGGTTTCTGGGGTTATCCTTTTTGTTGACCTGGTCTGCACCAAATGGCATGGAACATGCAAGACCACCATTTCCAAGAGACATGAGAGCAAAGGAAGAGATTAGCATTGTCATTTGCCCAGTTGTTGCTGATTTACATCTTTCAGGTTCTTGATTGCAAGGAAGAGGCCGAGCTTGTGGAACCATCGCTGTTAGCCACAACAGTGACATTCCCTGTTGAAAGAACAAAACAAGCTTTGATTAAAACCAACTTATTTTAACTGTTTTGAATGTCTTGTAATCCTCAAAGTGCGATCGAGTTTTTCACAGAATAGAAATGAATGTGCACCAGGCTTGCATTTTGTTATAAGTTCATTAAAGATATAAAATGTTGTTAATGTAGTCTTATATTTCGTGCAGAAGGATCTGCTTATAGCTATCTTTTACGTTGAAAAGATCATGCAGGTGTGAATTTATATATTTTTATCATAAATGAAATGGCTTCAGCCTTCACATTTCTGCTCATGCCAGTATATAATTGAAGTCTGCAAAATAATCATTAAATTCATGGAANCACTGTTTTCAACCATTAAAAAAAGTTCACGTGAAACTCGCTCCCTTAAAAGAAAATCTTAGCACCATAAGACTATCATTTAATAAACAAAGGTTAGAATAAACAAAAACAAAATTAAAGAATGTGAAAAATGCTATCTGTTCCATACACAAACTATTATTTCCACTAAATTTGTTTTTCCTTTTATTTGTTTTTTTCAAAAGCTTTTATCTCTCATTTAAACAAACCCTAGCTACGGACAGAACAATATATATTTATAGGCAAAACTACATTTCAATTCAAGTGGTTAGTAAATTAGGTTTTCAAACCAAATCTTCCATAAATAATCTGTTAAAGTAGTTATATAAAAAAGGGGGAAATTAGAGCTATGTATATTTTTCCCTTTTCCCCTTCAAAACTAATATTCAAAGTTCATTTCATAGAATTTCTTTGTGTTTCATTTTAAGCCTTTTTTCAGTTATGTTATGTCTGAATCCATCACTGTTCTAGCTTTTGTTTCTATAGGATGAAAGTGGAAACTGGCATGTGAGTGCAATAGCAACATTAGTAGACATGATTGGAAGTGCTGCTCCCTACACAGTTAACCAATGTCACCATGTCACTCTTGACTTGAATATCTCATACTACTCAATGGCAAAGGTTCAGGTAGTCTTGTGTTCATGTTGACATCTAAATATCTTTGGTTTTTGTGAATTTTTGAAGACTTTTGCATCCTTGAGTCCAATTTCTTTACTCACCAAATGCATTCATTAATTCTACCCGCCAACAATAGGAAGAGGTTGAAATAGAAGCAAAGGTTTAGGAAAGAAGGATGATTTAACTTCAGTGATTGTGGAAGTCAGGAAAAAGCAGAATGCAGAATTGGTTGCTCTACCATGTGAAAGTAAACTGTTTCAATCAACCTCATTCAAACTGACATGTTGTATACTCCTTCTATTATAGAAATTACTTTTAAACAATGAATATCATGTTCTCTTCCTTTAGTGCTAAGGTTAAAGTGAATAGTTTTCAAGCTTTGTGAGACAATGGATCAATTGTGTTTGGAATCATGGAAGGATCATTGGTACAGTCGTTTGGAAATTCATCAGAGTATGCTTTAAAAGCCATTGTTTCATCCTTGGTTTTAATTATATTAGAGTAACAATTTTACTATGGAGAAAATATGCATCTTGACATACCAATACCGTTTATACATACATCAATAGCTGCTGATATCTGCAACCACTACACATATCAAAACATAAGTAGTGCATGTTCCTACAAAGTTCAACATCTCAACTTGTAAAGCATATACTTTTTCCATTGTTTTCACTAACTTTGACTACATTTTCAATAGACCCTCAATTATTCATTGTCAAATCTAGTTAACTCTTTTCACATTTAAGCCAATATCTTCTTCACTGACATGTGATGCCTTGCTCACAGTGCCATTTTGAGCTAATGGTTTCTCATTTGAATTCTTCTGGTTTCTCATTTGATCAATTGTGGGTCCATAAGCCCAGCTGCATACTAGATAATACAGTATATTAACAGCATTGAGTAGAGCAAGAAGCCAGTAGTACTTATCATAACGACCCTTGTTAATATTATCCAAAACCCATCCCTCTTTTCCTCCTCTTGAAGTAACATGTTCCACAGTGCTGAATATGAAACTAGATAAAAAGTTTCCTGCAGCCATTCCAAGTCCAAAAAGGCAAGATGCAATGCTTGACATAGTTCTAGGAAACTCTGTGTAATAGAACTCATTTTGGCCTATGGCATTGAATGCTTCAGCCAAGCCTGCCAAGAAAAGTTGAGGAACAAGCCACATTCCAGACATATTCAACACTGCATTCATGTCATTAACATGTCTCTCCCTGATTGCTCTACTTCTCCTTGTAGTCTCCACAATTGCTGCAGTTGCAAAGTGGAGTAAAGAGAAACCCAACCCAATTCCCATTCTTCTCTTGGCACTGATCCTAACAGGTTTTCCTACAATCTTTGACGCTAGAGGAATAATGGCACGATCGTAAAGAGCCACCCAGAGAAATATTGTAATCACCAAGACTACAGAAAAAGAACCTGCTGGAACTTCAAATTTAGAAGTGATGTGCCTTTTGAGGGATTTAGCTTGCAGTATTCCAAAAGATCCTCCAATGTTAACTGACACCATGATCCCTGTAGACCACAGTGGAATCACTTTCATGATAGCTTTTAGTTCTTCCACTTGTTCTATTGTGCAGAGACTCCACGGATCCGAGGCTGATCCATCACTGGCTATATCCTTTTCAGGATCTTGAATTATGCAAGCTTTATTCAGAAACCTGGAAAATAAAGCATTGCAAGAAGTTCATAATTTTTTTGATACAGTGAACAAGCACAACATAACATGTTAAAATAGAATAAGGATAGCATGACAAACGTTGACATTCATTTGACATACCTAACAAGGATAAATGATCTTAAAAGAATGATTTTTTTTTGTAGTTTTTCGAAAAGAAAAATTTTCTTGACACACTTAAATTTTTTACATTCATTTGTCACTATCTTTATTCACTTTTTTTTTTCTTGGAAAAATACAAAACTTTACACTTTTATGACCATTTTATCTTTATATCCTGTGTGAAAAGTGTGTCTTGGTACCATTTTTCTTTCAAAAAATAATAAAATAAGGAAGGGCAGTGTCATAAAAAAAAGTTATGAGTCAAATTATCATCTTTCTATAAGGATAAGATAACGATAGTGTTATGTTATCGACCTTAGTTTTTCATCAGGAGCAAGAAGATCAGAGTCCTTCCTACGATGGTACATTTCAACTGAGTTACTTGGTGGTAAAGGAAGCTTCCGGTTCTTGTAGGCCACAACGATTACCTGTGCTAGGCCAGTGATTAAGCTGCCCTGAACTTTGTGCTTTACATAAAGTGGAGAAGCAATGAAAAAAGATAAAGTGGACATGAACATAAGTGCTGCTGGAACTCCAAAACCCAGTTTCCACCCAAAATGATCTTGGATATACACTATGACTGTAAGGGCTATTATGACAGCAAAAGCTGTAAAAGCATAATACCAGCTGAAAAATGTTTCTAACACCCTTTGGTTTCTGGGGTTATCCTTTTTGTTGACCTGGTCTGCACCAAATGGCATGGAACATGCAAGACCACCATTTCCAAGAGACATGAGAGCAAAGGAAGAGATTAGCATTGTCATTTGCCCAGTTGTTGCTGATTTACATCTTTCAGGTTCTTGATTGCAAGGAAGAGGCCGAGCTTGTGGAACCATCGCTGTTAGCCACAACAGTGACATTCCCTGTTGAAAGAACAAAACAAGCTTTGATTAAAACCAACTTATTTTAACTGTTTTGAATGTCTTGTAATCCTCAAAGTGCGATCGAGTTTTTCACAGAATAGAAATGAATGTGCACCAGGCTTGCATTTTGTTATAAGTTCATTAAAGATATAAAATGTTGTTAATGTAGTCTTATATTTCGTGCAGAAGGATCTGCTTATAGCTATCTTTTACGTTGAAAAGATCATGCAGGTGTGAATTTATATATTTTTATCATAAATGAAATGGCTTCAGCCTTCACATTTCTGCTCATGCCAGTATATAATTGAAGTCTGCAAAATAATCATTAAATTCATGGAAGAGTAGGTACACTCACAAGATACAACACTAATGAAAATTGAGTCTAATCAAGTAAAAAATTGATATCATTTTCTACTCCAAACCTTAAGTAATGGGTTAACGGATCTTCACTACTTTCTCATTTATATTAAATATGAGACTTGGACTTAAACTTGGATTCTCAACATCTTATACATCCTTTGTGCACACTTTTTGTGCATACTTTTTTATTGAAAAATGATTCTTTATACTTATATTTTTACGATCATTTTATTATTATATTCTGTTAAATATACTTAAAAGTATGTTATAGTACCATTGCTCCTGTTTATTACAGACATTAAAACTAAGGGTCCAAAAGCTGAAAGTGAATTCAGAAGAGGAAGAGCTTAAAGGAAGATGAAAAGTACCAGAAAAGTGATGGTGGATCCTAACCCAACAGAGAGAAATCGACCCAAGTAAGAATCAGCAATGAAAGCACCTATGAGTGGTGTGATATTGCTTGTTGCAGAGGACAATAGAAGCACTTGAGTTGCTTTGGCTAAATGAAAGTGGTAACTCCCCATCAAATACACTATCATGTTTGGCAGAAGACCAAATGTTGCAACTCTTGCAAGTGCCTCATTTGCTGCAACACAAACAACCAAAACCAAAAAGAATGAAATCCATCACCAAAAACCAAACCAATGTGAAACAAAAACAAAGTTTACCCATGATGAAAGGCATGGTAACAAAACCACCCTTTTCCTTTTGTGGTCGTTGAATGTGTTCTGATACCATTTCAACTTCTCTTGAACAAAGCTCCACCTGCTTCTCCATTGCTGCCTCCTTCACAATGCAAACAAAGAAAACACAGTTTGGAGCTCTTAAGTACCAGTTTTCATGCAGCAGATAAAGATGTCAGAACTTGCAAGAGGGTCGAATCGAACTTACCATGTTTCTGTTTCTGTTTCTGTGTGTCTCTGTTACAACATGTTACTTATAGCAAACATTTTCTATGTTATCACTGTCTCACGATACTTACAATGTATGAGGTAATGTTAATAATGCTTTTGTTCATCAGATGCAGATGCACCATATTTTCACTATTTCTTTTAAATGCTAATAGTCATATTTATCAAGTAAATGTCAAACTTTCTGACTTTAATCAACTATGGGGCATGAATTTTCTTACATTGACAAAAGAATTGTAACATTTTTAATTGTTTTAATTATTTTATATCTCTAATTCAATGTGAAATGTTTTAATAGATACAGACCTGTAACTTTATTCTTACTTATAATTATTAGAAAATTTATAATTGATAAAATAAAAGTGATTTATTATTTATCATACATATTTTAATATCTTCTTATAAATAAAATTTTGAGCTCTGTACATGAGACAAAATAAAAGAATCTATTTGATGTTCATAAAAAAACTAAAAGCATTTATAAATATAAAATCAGTGAGAAATAAAAGAAGTCTACTTTACCTAAAACATTGTGAAAAGGACATGAAAGGAAAGTTTGTAATTTTGCTAGTGTTTTGGAATCTTGTGATCATCCCATCTTTATGTTGTTGTCTACTTTGGATTTCAGAAGGCAAATATGTAGTGCGTTACACTTGGCCTTTCCTCTTTAAAATGCATTATATATATTACTAGACTAAAAAACTTTTTTGTAAAATTATTATTCATTTCCAAAATAATATAGCCACTCTTACTTTTTTTTAGTTTAATTAAACTATTTAAGTGAAATTTTATAAGTATGTTTTAATATCCATTGAGATAATATTATTAAAGGAAAATATAGAGTAGTTGAGATATTGTTTGGAGTTTTCAGGATGTGTTCATTTGAGAGGGAGAATGAGTGAATAAATTTGAAAAAATAGAAAAAAAATTGTAATGTTATTTGAATTAAGGAAAAATATAGTGTGATTTGAATGCATTTAAGATAAAAGTTGTATAGAATGTGATAAATACAACAAATTAAAAAATATTTTAATAAATAAAATTAAATAACTATTGTTTTATTATGGAAAATAGATGTGATATAAATATCCTTAAATTCATTAAAACAAATAACATATACACTTCCAAATCCATCTATTTTTCACATTACATCAATAATTACAAATATGTATTTAATATTGTTTTGAAAATAATGTATATTTAAATTACCTTTTAACATTGATTCTAAAATAATGTGAGTAGGGACAAATCTTAGAAGGTCTACTAGAGAGTTTTGATTTCCAATTTTTTTCCACATATAAAAATTAATATATAAATATATTTTTAAAATTTTAATATATTTTATATATTTGACATTCTCAAAATTTATATATATTTATTTTGACACTTCTAAAAATATTTTTTTAAAATTTGTCTAAGATATATTGAAAGTTCTCAATCAAAGTATAAAAGAAAAAAAAAATCAAGTTGAAAATTACTTTTTCATACCTCATATTTGAGGACTAGGAAAATAAAGATTGAATTTCCAATTTCCTTTACATTCCAACTTCAAATCTGCTAACAGAAAATATATATTTAAGAACCATATCTCACTATAATTGGGTCTCAACAATTGAACATTTATTATAGTTATTATAGGCTATGCAAAAGTTATAATAGATATTTTATTTTATAGCATAGGTAAGCTTCTAAATTTAAATTGCTTAGCTAAGCAAACTTCCTTTTTTTGTTGGATCCATTGTTTTCTTAGGAAAAAGTAGTAAGATGTTGGAAATTTGGTTTGAGCAAAACTTTACTATTAGAAAGCAAAATTTGTCAAAAGAGGAAGATAAAGGTCATAGTCATAAACTGTGACAAACTTGTTTCAGAAAGCTTTCACTGATATACCATAATAAGATCAACACTAGTGGCAAGACAAGGATCCTTTAAAGAAGAAACCTAATGGACTTTAGGATAATGATGTCGATTAATGTTTCGTTAATTAATATAATGTTTTTTTCAGGAAATTAATGTGAAGAGTATTGGTTGGGAAAGAAAACACACTGATTAAAGTGCAAATTTCATGTTTTTAGAAGCCTTGAGATGATATCAGAACATACTACTTTGTCCTAAGTTGGTAAAATTAGATTAATAGAAAAGCTATTTATATTTAGATATTGTGTGGCCTTTAATGGCTCTGCATGAGTTGATTTGTAAAAGAAGTATAAAATGCCATGATCCTAAATTATTAATTTTAGTATTAAATATATTTTTAATTTCTTAATTTTTAATTAAAATTAGAATTAATTTTCTTTAAACTTTGGTCTAATTTAATATTTCAATCTTAATAACGTATGAGTTTAGATTTTTTAATCAAATTTTATTAAATTTATTTAATATTTCATGATAACACTAGAATTGTTATATTTCATATATTTTCGATATTAGTTAAAAAACACATTTAAAATGTTAAATAAATTTGATAAAATTAAATTAAAAAACTAAATAATTAAATTGAATTAAAATTTAAAAAAAGTTTATTCTAGTTTTCACTTCAAAAAAATAAAAATATATTTAATCTTTAATTTTAAATCTACATTTCTCATTTTACTCATTTTAAAAATGAAATAATAATTTTTTTTTTCAATTATGTCAGTCTAATTATTATAATAAGTCAAGATTATATTTCAAAAAAATATATGCGAAATTCATAGAAAGTTGAAAAACTAATAATTTAACTGATAGTTGAAATCAAAAAATTATCAAATTAGTTGTTTAAATTATACGCGTAAGTGTTTGGTAAAGCAAAGTAATTGACATTTAAAATGACAAATATATATGATATTAATTAATTTTATTTTTCGTATTTTGTATTTATAGAAAAATTATTTTAATCATATAATTATTATTCATCTCATACTATATTTTAAATATTTCAATCAAATTTAGAATAAAGTAAAACATACTTTTAAATAGATATCATATTATCATTGTGTAATTAAAGCAATGATTAAACTCTACTCTAATAAAAGATTTACCAAAAACTATAATTTATCGGTAATAATTTGTCGATGTTTCATATGAATAAAAAAAATGTTATAATGAATAAATAAATAGAATAATATAAAAATTTTCAAAGCTAAAAATAAAAACAAAATACCTTATTATTTATTACCGATATATCTCATGTAATAAAAATATAAAAAATAAGAAAATTCCAGTTTGTGTATAAAATATTACTTTAATAAAATAAACACACGAAATTATAAACTGTTCATTTAAAATAGCATGTAAAAAAATTATATATCAAACAATAATAATAACATCAAACAAATTTTTTAATCGGTGGAAGAAACTATAAACAAGGAAACAAAACCAATTACAAAGGAATAAGATTGCCGTACATCAAAGTCTCAAGAAAATGTAAATGTGATTATACCAATGTATGAATTATTGATTTCAACTTCACTTAATTTTTATACAAAATTTTTAGAATTTATTTTTTATTGATTGTAAGACAGTATACATAAGTTTATCTTACACTATCATTTTTACTATGAATAAATGATATGAAATAAATGTATTGTTCTTAATCTTCAACAATATCGAATATTGGAAGATAGAGATTACCCATTTCTTGTAAGCTCTATGAGAACATATGTTATACTGAATCTAGTGTAAAACAATTTATCTTAACATTTTTTAAATTAGTTTATAATATATTTAAACAGCTTATAAATTCATTTAAACATATTGAAGTGTTTAATAATCTTTACTAGTTTATTTAATCAACTACTTCAAAAGCTAATTTCACTACAAACTTCTAATTTAACTTGATAGTTTTAGTTTTGAACTAGAAAATAAGCTTTCAAGATTTTGTAAACTTTTATGCCAGTTTTAATGCCAAACATAATCTGTATATGTCTGAGAATGAAGGTTCAGAATGCAGGAAAATGAAACAATTCAGTACCTAAAAGATTCCTTTATGTCAGAAGAATTTTGTCAAACCATATGAAATATTGCCTCATACAAAACCAGATTCTGGTTTCAGTAGCTTAATCATTCTTTTCTATGTCTCAGCTGTTGAAAACACCAACACTGGTTTTTATTGGAACCAGTAAAACTCATTTCAAGTTACAGTTTTATGTGACGAAGTTCTTAAAATTTCTTCACTAAACTGTGATACCTTATCAAATGGACCCTCAGTTCTGGCACCAATTAATGGTAATTCTTCCTCTTGGGAACCATTTTCTTGATTTACCTTTGATTGTAGATCTGCAGTAGGTCCATAATTCCAACTGCAAAGTAGATAATACAGTAAATTAACAGCACTGAGAGTGACAAGAACCCAGTAGTACTTGTCAAAATGACCCTTGTTAATGTTATCTGAGATCCATCCATCATTTCCCCCTCTTGAAGTAACTTTTTCCACAACACGGAATAGTAAAGAAGATAACACATATCCCACAGCCATTCCCAGTCCAAAAAAGGAAGAAGCAATGCTTGACATGGTCTTTGGAAACTCACTGTAATAGAACTCATTCTGGCCTACTGCATTGAATGCTTCAGCTATACCACCCAAGCAAAGTTGAGGAAAAAGCCACATTGCAGACATGTTCAACACTGCATGTGTGTCATCAACATGTCCCTCACTAATTGCTCTCCTTCTCCTTATTGTCTCAACAATTGCTGCAGTTACCAAGTGGAGAAAAGAGAAAAACAACCCAAGTCCCATTCTTGTCTTGGAACTGATCCTTATTGGTTTGCCTCTGAGCTTTGATGCTAGAGGAATAATCACACGGTCATAAAGAGCTATCCAAATGAAAATTGTGAATATCATGATTACTACCAAAGAACCAGCTGGAACTTCAAAGTTTGGAGTGATATGTCTGTTAAGGGATTTAGCTTGCAGCAATCCAAATGAGCCTCCAATGTTCAGATACATCATGATCCCCGTAGACCACATAGGAATAACTTTTACAATAGCTTTTAGTTCTTCTACTTGATCAACTGTGCACAGATTCCATGGATTCAACGTTGAGCCATCAAAGGCTATATCTTTATCAGGGTCCTTAACGAAGCAAGCTTTATTCAGAAACCTGGAACAAAACACAACATCAGCAGAAGCTTATTACTATTTCATGAGGTGAGTATGCAAAAAGATAACTATAATGGTAGTGTTAATATGTGATTCAATTCAACCTCAGTTTATCAGTTGGAACAACTAGATCGGAGTCCTTGTTATGATGATACATTCCATCAGAGATCTTATGTGGTAATCGAAGTTTCCTGTTCTTACATGCTACAACAATGACACGGGCAAAGCCAGTGAGCAAGCTGCTGTGTTTTTTATGCTTTACATAGAGTGGAGATGCCAGAAAAAAGAGAAGAGTGGACAAGAACATAAGTGCTGCTGGAACTCCAAAACCTAATTTCCATCCAAGATGATCTTGGATATACACAATTCCAGTGAAGGCAATTATGACTGATACCGCTGAAGAAGCATAGTACCAGCTGAAGAATATCTCCAATGCCCTCTGATTATTGGGGTTATCTTTTCTATTCACCTGATCAGCACCAAAAGCCAGGGAACATGAAAGGCCACCGTTTCCAATTGACATGAGAGCAAGGGAAGAGATTAACACTGCCATTTGCCCAAATGTTGCTGATACACATTTTTCAGTTTCAGAATTACAATGAGGAGGCCGAGCCTCTGGGATCATGGCTGTTAGCCACAATAGTGCCATTCCCTGTTATTAGGAGTCAAAACAGTACTAATCAGTCATTATTACTCACTGGTTATCATTAAACATCCCAAATATTTCCCCATCTTCCAATTAACCACAACCCTAATGAAATTTTGGAAGTTGAATTTAGACTAAATGCACAGATACAAGGGTGTATCTATCTCAAACTTTAATCCGATTAGGTCTTATACTTAAAAAAAATACATGGATTCAGTTCAATTCGCCCAACATTGTCAACTGTTTTTGGAATGACAAACATTACAGGAGAGAAACTTTTGGATTACATCTAGCATTTCTTAAATAGAAGAACCTAACATAATCAAAATCACATTACAGATTAGGAAACAAAACATAATTAACCCTATAAAGATGTAAAATACTGTCTAAATATGGATAAGATCGTTATAGCAATGAGGGAAAAGGAATAACAGCTAATATCCTACCAGGAAAGTGATGAAGGAACCTAATCCAACAGCGAGGAAGCGACCCAGATAAGAATCGGCAATGAATGCTCCAGGAAGAGGCATGAAATTGGTGGTTGCAACAGATAACAGGAGTATCTGGGTAGCTTTGCCCAGATGAAGATTGTAATTTCCCATCAAATACAGTATCATATTGGGCAGAAGCCCCAAGGTTGCCACTCTCGCAAGTGCTTCATTTCCTGCCATTCACTCCATCAAGTCAACAAACACACGAAAACACAAACAACATAAACGAAACACGATCTGCAAGAACATGTTCCGAGACACAACAACAGAACACAAACCTATGATGAAAGGCATGGTAACGAGGCCACCCTTAGCACGCCCTTCGAATTGAGAAATTCGGTGAGAAGCCATTTGGGTTTGAGCTGAACAAAGCTCAACCTCCTTCTCCATTGATCTGCCACTGCTAGTTAATTACTTACCTTCTCCTAAAGCAGCAGAGAAAGACAGAGACAGAGTACATACACATGAAATACACATGTCTGTTTCTCCATCTTCTTCGACCACACGTCAATGGTCAATGATGTTCAACAAAACCTACCTTACGTTCCCACATTATCAAAGGTTTCTTCAAATTATATTTGTTGCGGAAGGGTTTTCAATTAGAATCCAGTAATTTACTAAGATCAGAAAATTAGTTAATACATGTATACTTACATTACATTTTTTCTTTCTTAGACAAATATTTATAGTTAAAAGCATTTCTATTTTAAAAATTTAATACAAATATGTTTTGAACTAAGTTTTATATATAAAAAATAAAACTAAACCTGAATTTTAATTCGAGTCATTGACTAACTAGGACATTAGGATAAAACATGTGATCCAATCATAGATAGTTATTTACAGTAAGAATTTATAAAATTTACAACATCCTTTGAAGATAAATTTCTCTAAAGCACAACATGAACATTTTGAACAAACAAATATTATATGCAATTCTTGAAAAAATTATATTGCTCTCTTGGAGTTTTTTTTTTTTTTTATAGCATGCTTAACAAAAGATTAAGTTAAATATCAATATAAATACAAAGGTCATGCCTTAATTCTATTAATGGAAGAGTATAAACAATTTGTAAGAAATAGTATATAATTTTAGTCTTCCCCATCTTTAATAATAATATCAACCTTTTTTTCTATCTTCTTGAGAAAAACTTTATCACTTAGAACAAAACTTACAAGATACAATTCAATGTGTGTTTGAACACGCTTCCACCTTAATTTTAGGCTTTTTAATTTGTGGAGCTCAGTTTTGTTTAAAAATAAGTTTAAAGTGGATAAATTTATGTTTACAATTTTTTATCTTTACCGTTTTATACTAACACAGGAAAGTCATTTTTTACTTTCAGTTTTAATCTAATGTATTTTTTAAATAAAAATTGATTCTCCATCAAAATAGATAAATATTTTTTTACCATAAATTTCACTGGTAGTCATCAGTTATCTCTTTTGTCATAATAAAAATTAATTTGTATATCGTGTACCTGTGTATCGTGTGATTTTTCGGTCAGTTCTATATTGAACAGTCAACTATGGTTTAGATGGTCAACTAGTAAATAGGACCAACTACATACTAGTCTTGGATGTAAAGCAATCAAAATCTCAAATAATCTAATTGGTCATATACAGGTCCAATGAACATCCCACAGCTCGGAACTCACACCCCACAGCTTAGGGCGCAAATTATGGAGACCAGCCAGGATAGTTAATCACCAGTTCGATGAACAAGATAACAAGCCCGCATTTGGACTACAATTAGACCAATGTTAATTAAAAACTTATTACAAAACCTATAAATAAAAATTTGAGATAAGAAAGTAAGTTATGTGTATTTATTATGGTATTAATTGTTAAGTATAAAATGTTAAGTTAACTTTAACATCAAATGTTTTGTGTAAGTATCTTTATAAAGGATTCAACATAACACTTAGACTTCTAAATAATATTTAGACTTCCGACAATCTTACTTGTTGACCTCGACTTCTTACCTAAAACAAAGAAGCAGTTTCAAGTTACGTTTCAACTTGAATGAATTATTATTGACAAGTAACATTGAGTATCACAACATTTCAATATCCATATTCATTCATAGAGCAGCTAGCAACAAGATCAAGTAACACATTTGTGTCATGGAATTGAACACAGCAAAGCACCAAACGTTGTTTTGGTCTATAGATCAAGCTTTGGCTTCACTCCATTCTTGTAAAGTTGGGGTTGCAACTCCAACATTTTCCATGTCAAACAAATTCGCTGAAACCATCCAAAATTACGTACATAAATTTCCTCAGATGATCATGCAGATCTTTTGTCAGACGGAAACTGAAAATCATACCTTGATGAACATCTGGTGTGGCTGCTGCAGTAGCATCAACAATAACAGTCACTTTTGGATAGTCCAACGCTACAGCATCAAACACAGTTTGTCTGATGCAATTTGGAGTTTGAATTCCTGCAATTACAACAAAGCACTTACGTAAAATTAATTCACCTGTAAGTGACGAGTGACATTAAGTTTATTACACTGACCAGTGATCACCAAATTATGAATTCCTGCAGCATGAAGAACCGAATGAAGGTGTGTAGCAAAGAATGCACTGAACCTGGTTTTCACAAGTTTATAATCCTCTTCTTTGATTACCAACCCATCAACCAATGTTGCACCTTCACTTCCTTTACACCCTATTTTTACTTTCTTCTCTGTATAATAATGCCTCCGAAAAAGCTCAACATCTCTTCCTAACGGATCGTTTTCTCGTACTACCTGAAAACGTTGCTAGAGACATTCTTCAGAATTTAAACCAGTATGATTTCAGAGTAATAAATAAGAAAAAACATATTAACTATTTTTAATTTCTAGAATCTAATCGCGTAGAAATTGACATCATTCTACTCAAAATCTTAAAAATAAAAAAAGGTAAATGTTAAAAATAAAAGGGTAATTTTGGAATTAATTTTTTTTTTTAGAGAGGTGCAAGAAGCAACACTCTAGAAGTAATGGGTGGTCCGACAATGGCCCAATAACGAATGGAACAGAATGCCCACATAGATTGCTAAGATAGGCTCCAACCTAGCTCTGATACTATGTTACAAAGTGGACTTTAAGCCCATATTAAAAAAGTGAACTTTAGGCCTAACTCAATCCCACAAAAATCAGTTTTGTATGGTGAAGTTTGCATCCCACTTATATATTATAATCTGGTCTTATCTCTACTTTCAACATAACCAGTCTTCACTTTTATATCGTATTCTACTTTTTATTCTCGTATTTTTATCCAACATAAGATATAGACTAAGACTTAGATTCTCAACATAATATATATCACGCTTTATTATTAGGATTTGTTTGCTTTTTATTATGAAATTAAAATATTGAATTATTGTTATTCAAGTGCATTATTGATAGATTTTGTAATATTATTAATGTACCAATGGAATTTAGAAGCTAAAGTGATTTATAAGACTATTATTACCCAAACTATGAGCATGCCACGCTCCCTTGCAATATCGACGGCCTTAACCACATTTGGAACAATGTCTTTCCCTGCTTTTAGTGCCACAGGACTCCAATCTTCTATGAAATCTTTCTGCAACATCACAAACCCACCAAACAGAGACTCCTTAATTTCTCCAAAATCATAGTAATTAACCATAAGTTATTTAGAAATTCTACAATTTCCACTTGTCAGCTATAATCAAAAGTTTATTAATTTAACATAATAAAAAAATTCATAATAAGAAGAAAGACAAACCATGCCTTACTACTAAGAATTATAATATAAGATGAAAATCTTTACGTAAAATCTTCAATCCAATTTATATAATGATATATTAAGAATTAACTTTAAATCTAATTTAAAACTAATTTATAAAATAAAATTTACACTTACATGTATATTTTAAAGATTCGGATAAGTTAATAACTTTTCATAATAATTTTTAACAATAAATTATATGTCATTATTTTATTAGTCTCTTTAAATTTATTTTTAAAAAATCTTTAAAATGGATCAATCACAATTTATTACGTAGACATTATAAAAAAAATTTAAAAAAAATTTCAATATTTTAACTTAACCTAGTCTATTGTAGACGTGGATTTGAGACTTTCAATAATATATATATTTTTATAAGTAAGAAGTAGATTTTAAATAATTTATTTTTATAAAATTTGTAAAGAAGTCGACGAGAGAAGTAGATCTAAATGAAACAAGCCATGATAAGTTAGCTTAAATTGCAGTAACCTTGCTACCGGTTTTTTTCCGTAAATTAAGAAACTTAAAGGCACGAAATCGAACTATTTAATGATTTCCATGAACAAGAACATTAAAGAGTTTACTGAGTACCTGCATGTCGATGACAAGAAGAGCTGTTTGCTTCCAATCCTCTGCCATTTCTGTTCTAAGATTAACCCAACTACACCAAAAACTGCAGATTTTGAGCTCAGTTCAATGACAGAGGTTACTCTAGATGATCTTGGTTTCACTTCAGAAGAACTAGAAACATGACAGATATCAAAAGGAAAATGGTGTAGAGAAGGAACAATCACAAACTCTGTTTCAGAAATGGAGCTTCAAATGTGGAGCACACAGTCTCTTCTTAGAGTGAACTTTTCATAAATAAGTAAAATCAGAATATAAAATTAACATTTTTTTAATTGAAATATCAATAAATGTAGTAGGTGGCAATTATTTTATATAATTTTTTTAATTTTTTATATAGGTTAATTTTAGATGCTGGTTTCATTATTTTAATAAATATCTATAAGAACAGTTTTATATGTTCATAGTCCTAAACATCAACCTAACAAAAGCTTGACCAAGCTACAAGATAACAGATTTTTCCATAAATCCTTGAATTTAAAAAGGATATCAAATGTGGAACACACCAACCAAGTTGCATCTTCTCAATTATTACCAATCAACTTTATCATGAGATGAAAGTTTCGTCTTCGACAAAAGTAAGGAACGATAAATAATATATACATAGTGATATTATGTTATTAAAAACACGCATTTCTTCTACAAATGTTAACACTTTTAAGATTATTTTCATCACCAAAGTCATTTAATAACTTCCTTCTAATATTCCTTTGTGTTATTTTATAAAGTTAAATATTGTTAAAGCTATTTTTTTTTTTTGGGTTTATGTATTAGTTTTTCTTCCTATATTCGGACTATCTTAACTAATTTTGTAAAAGTCCTCAAAAGAAACCGTTTTATAACATTTTCTTTGATAGAAGATCACAAGCCAACAAAACCCGAATATGTGATTCACGATTAAGGCTAAAATTTTGAAATAACTAATTGGAAAGTCAATATGCATTTAAAAATGTTAATTTATATAAAAGAAAATCAATATCAATCAATTATATATCATGTGCTAAATAATTGAAACTTGTTTTCATCGAAATCCTTTGGATTTGTGACGTGATTTAACTTTAAATTTTTTGAAAGTTTTTATCTTTATGAATAAAAGAGAGAGTATGAAAATAAGTGAATATTTTTTAAAAAGTATTAATCCTATTTATAATATTTTTTAAAACTTTTAATCTATATATATATATTGTGATATCAAATAATATTATTAAAATAACACTTATGTATAATAAAAATGTTATATTTTATTTTAAATAATTATTATAATATTAAACTAATAAGATCAATTAAAATCGTTGTTAATTTGTAAATATTTTCTAAATAAATATATATTTTGGACTCTTCCAAGATAAAAATGCTTAATAAATTTTGTTGGATCATACTTTTTAGAACATTATTGTGACATATAATTCAATATTATCTAATAATATTTTGTAGTATTATAGAGAAATAACAATTAATTTANAAACTAATTGGAAAGTCAATATGCATTTAAAAATGTTAATTTATATAAAAGAAAATCAATATCAATCAATTATATATCATGTGCTAAATAATTGAAACTTGTTTTCATCGAAATCCTTTGGATTTGTGACGTGATTTAACTTTAAATTTTTTGAAAGTTTTTATCTTTATGAATAAAAGAGAGAGTATGAAAATAAGTGAATATTTTTTAAAAAGTATTAATCCTATTTATAATATTTTTTAAAACTTTTAATCTATATATATATATTGTGATATCAAATAATATTATTAAAATAACACTTATGTATAATAAAAATGTTATATTTTATTTTAAATAATTATTATAATATTAAACTAATAAGATCAATTAAAATCGTTGTTAATTTGTAAATATTTTCTAAATAAATATATATTTTGGACTCTTCCAAGATAAAAATGCTTAATAAATTTTGTTGGATCATACTTTTTAGAACATTATTGTGACATATAATTCAATATTATCTAATAATATTTTGTAGTATTATAGAGAAATAACAATTAATTTATAATTAATTATTATATACACAATTAAATATCAATAAAGTCTTTTCACAAATTGAAATTTTAAACAATATCATACAGAAATGAATTAAATGAATCATTAATTCTTGGTGGTGGTAGATATCCTATCTAATCTAATCTTTAGTGCATTATTTATCACTAAATATTAAGGGATAAAACTTTGGATGCATGAAGTATTACGCAAAGTTGAGATGGCCGAGTTGGTCTAAGGCGCCAGATTAAGGTTCTGGTCCGAAAGGGCGTGGGTTCAAATCCCACTCTCAACAAAATTTAATATTTTTAATTTTTAATAAAAAAATTAAATACTATACTAAATATTGTATTGAAAATAAAACAATTGTTGCATATGGTATAATTATAGTTAAATGATGTTATCATTATAAAAAGTACAATCCATATACTACTTTATTTGAATAAAATACAAATACAGTCTACTTATAAATAAAATTGTGGGTATTTTATATAAGTGATTTCTTTATATAATTTTGAAAATGCTAAGATTATGGTTTATATAACTTGTAATGTATGGTATATAAAGTATTTTGAATTAATGATCAATTTAATTCTTAAATTAGAAAAAAAAAAAGCTGTATTACCGAAAAGTGTGTTGTAATTTGGTCTTAGGATTAAAATGATCCTTATAGTTAACATTTATGCCCTATTTGTCCTAATATTTATGACATTAAATATGTTATTTTTAATTTAGTCCTTAAACTCAATTATTCCGTGTTGTTTTAATAATTGAAAGCATTTTCGAATTTTTAATTATGTTCTACATTATATATAAATTATCAACAAATACATAGTCACCTTCTCCCTCTTTAGTTTCTTATTTTTCATACTTTCACATTCTTTTATGATATATCTTGACTTTCCTTTATTTATTTTTTATATAAATTTTATCATTTAATATTTAAATACAAAAAATTAAGATGTTTAGCTCTAGAGTAAAAGTTGAATGCTAAATTTGAATTACTCTTTTAATGTTATGGTTTTGATTCTATACCATTCTCTCATACTTCGTTAATTTTTTTTCTAAAACTATTCCATACACGTCATATACATATTTCTTAATTAATTTCATTTTCAGCATAATTTTAATGAAGAATAGTTAAATAAACCAATTCATTTGTCCTAAATAAAATTAATTAAAAATCATTATTAAGCAAAAGTTGGAAATGAAGAACATTCAAACTGGAAGAAAACGTTCACTTCTTATCAAATGTACAGGAGATTAATCTCTATATTTGAAGAAGTGATATTCCTTGATAATGAAGACTATCATTGTTAATTATCTCTATCAGAAAACTACCAAGTCATTATAAAGGAAATGTTTATATAAAAAACAACTAATTAAGATATATAAAAAGAAGTGACAACATAATAAGATAAAAATGCAAAGAATAATTAAAATAAAATTTAAAGAGCAACTTTATAAAAGAGATGTTAAGAAACTTGAATGCTCATGAGAAAAAAGTAAAATTAAATAGAGAAATATAATGAAAATACACGTAGAGATAGAAATATAAAATTACATAAAGTACGGTTGGTAAGAAAAAGGAAAATAAAAATAAGGTAAGAAATGTTGGATATAAATAAAACATTTGGTTATCAATATATTATTTTCATCCAATAAACTTGATTGTTGGAAAATTCACAGACTAATTATATATATATATATATATATATATATATATATATATAAATAAATTTTATCAAGTCGATTTTATAAAGTTAAATTAAATTTTCTTTCTAACAAAGATATATAACTTTAAAGTTTTTTTTTTAATAAAGATTTTGGAAAAATAAGAATGATAGGCTTGGATGAACTTATGCTAGTTTTTCTTGTGTGTTCTTCCTCTTTCACGTTGACTTCCTGTTATATGACCATGGTAGCATTTGTGAGTTATAAAATATTTTATAATTACTTGATATAAATTTCATTTGAAAAGACTATAAAAGTCATGTTGATAATGATAACAACGGTACATGTTTATTGAAAGAAAATTATTGATTGAGGTTGGTTAATTATATTGAGATCCTTATATTAGCTTATATAGTCATTATTGAATTGATTTTATGTTGTTGATATTTTGTTAATGAAGTTAGTAGTATTTGTTGAAGTCTTTTTTTTGACTTAAATTACTTAATTTAGAAGGAGGAAGCAAGATGTAAAATATATGTAAGGAAATGCATTAGTGATTGACCTATATATATGGAAACCCTCTTATTGATGCTAGTTTCGTTATAATAATTTTCTTTTGGGCCTGGGCCTCGAATAGAATTGAAACTAGAGAAGGAAAAACAATTTGAGTTTTTTTTTTTAATTTTATTTATTTATTTTGAAAACTTAATTTGAAATTTTTTTAAAATTTGTGATTTTGTTAAATATTTTCTTCACTCTCATAAAAATTAGATTTAAGGGTAATTCAATTTTTAAATATAATATAAAATTTACACTCATTTATATATTATATGATTTAAGATATTGATTGTATTTAATTATGGGTTAAATATGTTTTTGTCCCTTAACTTTCATTGAAAATTGGAATTAGTCTCTCTTCAAAACTTTGGACTAATTTAGTCCCCAAACTTTAGAACTTTAGAAGTGTGTGAATTTAATCATTTTAACCAAATTTTGTTAACTTTATTTGATGTTTCAAACATATTTCTCATTTAACATTGAAGCAAAAATGTGTCAAAAGGTGTAAACAACTCAAATGCTATCATGAAACGCACTTGAAACATTAAATAAACCTAACAAAATTTAGTTAAAAGGACTAAATTCACACATTAATAAAGTTTGGGTACTAAATTAAGCCAAAGTTTTGGAGAGGGACTAATTCCAATTTTCACTGAAGTTAGGGGACCAAAAACATATTTAACCCTTTAATTATTACCTGGTCTTACATAATAAATCTAAATATAACTTGTTTTTTAAGATGAATTTATAAAGATAAGATTTATTTTAATTTATATCCTACCACTTAATTATATTTGAAGTGAGCACAAGATGATTAACATTTAATTATTTAAAAAGTAAGAAGAATTTGAAGCAAGAGACAAAAAGAGAGTCTAAGAATGTAATGAAGGAGATTGGAATGTGGTTGCTAGGGTTGGCATGGCAGCACAAATGATAGTGATGAAGACAAACAGAAAGCAACAGAGAGAAAGCACTAGTCTATTATTTAAAACATGAGTGTGGAGATTCACCCTTTGCTTTTCTTACTTTCTTCTTTATAATTTAACCCATATCGTTCTTCTTCTTTTGTCCCATTATAACCTATAATGTCATATCTTTTATTATTTTTCTGCTTTCCAAATTCCTTAGACCTCTAAACTTTTTAAATTATTATTTCTCACACCCTTTTTATCATAATTTCACTTTGCACATTCATTATATAAAATTATTTTTATAGATCTGGGAACCATACTCTCTAACCCTAGTTGCATTTTTATTTTCTTTTTCTATTTTATTGTAAATTACTCTGTGCTTGTTCAAAATGCCATAGATTTTCAATGGACAAGACAGTGACACGTAAATCAATAATAAAAAAAAATGCACCAATTTAAAGTAAGTTTTAAGATTTCCACGTCATTAAGTTTTAATATTTTTATACAATATATATGTTATTTTTTATTGATTCATTTTTTATTTATTATTATATTAACATATTCTAAACCTAATAAAAAAATGGTATGTGTTGTGTCAAAATGTCAAAATAATTTGTTTTAACATATTATTGTTTTATTAAGATTCACTTGTTAATATTAAACCATTTCCAATGTCAGATAATTGTTTTGTTTTTACTATCATCTCATTTTTTTCATTCGTTGATTATTATTTATTATTATGCTAATGTATTCTAAACTTAATAGAAAATGACAGTTGTATCAAAATATTATTAAAAAATATGTTTTAATAAATCATTACTTATTAAACTATTTTTAATATTAAATAATTATTTATTTATTTTTACTATTATGTAACATTCATTTGTATGATAGTTTGAATAAAATAAACTTTACACTTACATTTTAGTTCGTATTATATTTGTGTGGGTGTGTTTAACATAAATTCATTTATTGAACTATTTCACTCTCCCTTTTGAGTTTTTAACAATGGAAAGCATATTAAGAGGAACATGCTAGCTAGAAACAAATGATACAATCACATTCAAACTTTTAACTTTTGCTTTTTCTCATATAATTAAGTATTCATACACATATATAAAAAAATTATAATCTACAACTTTCCATGGGACTACGTCATCATAAAAAAACAATATACATATGTATAGTCCAATAATTAAATTTCCGTAATGGACTAATCACTTAACCAATTCTTTATTTATCATTAGCATGACCATTCTATATACATATAAATAACTTGTTAGTGGATAAAAGGTAATCACCAGTCATTACCCTATTGGCTTTACATTTCAAAGTGGAAATTAAAAAGTCGCATGAAAACGAAAAATCCCAACTTCACACTTGCAACAGACAAATTCACTAAAGGTCGTTTTTTTTCTTCTCTTGTTTGCTTATACCAATGACTTAATTACCTCTAAATTGAAATATTTTTCTTAAAAACATCCATTTTCAATCACAAATTTTTCACCATTCAACAAACTTAAACCAAAAATCTTCTCTAAATTATCCCATATATATGTTAAGAAATTATTGGTCTTATCTTTAGTCTACGTGAGACTTCCAACACACCTTTCACGCCAAAGTATATACATCTCGAGCGTGAGACTAGACATTAATAAGTGATCCGATAGTGGGTGAAACAACATGTTCAAAAAATAATAAATATCGTTGGGATAGACTCGAACTTGCCTCTGTTACAATATTAAGAAGTGAACTTTAAGCGTAACTCAATCTCACAAAACTGGCTTGTAAGGTGAGGTTATATGTATATATCCAAATCAATATATAGTTAATACTTGTTAGTGTCATACTCAATAATCTTACATTGTTTAAAAGTCGAAATTTAAATGATTTAAATATTTTTTTAAAGATAAAACTGTGATTAATAAGATTTTAAAAGGGATAATATTTTGAATATACAAGAATAACATATAGTAATTCTGTGATACAAATTTCTGCATTTAAAATTGAAAAATGGTTGTTCATAACTAAATGGATCCTCTCTTATACTGAGTGAGATGATGCAATATGTAGCGTAAGAATGATGAAAGTGAGAGTTGAAGGCACTTGCAGGGAGCGTGAGAGAAATGGGGCATGGTGGCACTTGAGTAGTTCAACTAAAAGGTGGTCCAAAAATGACCCGAGAGCTGAGATGGGGTCCATATATATACATTCGGGTCAGCCAACAATATATATCCATTCACATGAATGTCTGCCACAACTGTTCACACATCCACTTGTTCATTTTTTAACTGCATTATAAGTTTCAGTCCTTTCACAGTTAAAAAACAAGCCAATATTATTCATTGCTGTGATGAACACTTCTCCAAGAATAGTAGTTTCAAATCAGAAACTCCTTACAGCACAAGGGAAAACAGTGACTGATTTTGAAAAAAGTGCTTATGATCATCATATGTAATGCATGAGCCACTCACATATATGCGTGTATATTAATTTTCGTCAGTTTTAAGCTTCACAGTTGACAGTGCAGGTTTTTCTCTTCAATGCATGCATGCGTGTTTGTCCTTATTTCTGATTTGTCTCAACAATAATATACCACGTATTTATATATAACATTTCAAACTATAATGGAAACTCAACACTTTTTCTTTAAATATTTAGGGCATAAATAGTTCTATCACCAGTTAATACGTCATCACCTACAATATTTTAATCTATGTATATATGATGCTAAAAGACCAACCTAAAGAGAAAAAATTTTGTTAAGAGAAATTTTAATTTATGATTCTAATAATATGTTAAGGGTTGAAGGTTGAATTTGAAGTTTAAGTTAATTTTATAAAATTGAATATTTAAATCATTATATATTGTAAATTAATTTTATTTGTAGTTTCAGGTGGAACTTTCAAATAATATGCATATAATTCAATATAATTAACTTTCAAAATTTGTTTCGACAAGGTGATGAAAATTATCATAACTAATTCATTTCTTTTCTATCACCTCTTCTTGATATAATTTTTTCACTAAATTGTATGGCTTCATTCTGTAAATGCAAAAACTATAGTTGATAAACGTGAGTTAAAAGATTAAGATCGCCATGAGTACGTTTCTGTCCTCTTCCAGGAAAAATACAAGAATGTGATAAAGAGGAAAGGAGACGAGGAATGAAAAATGCATAGTAGAATCTTAAACAAACATAGACAGAATATGTTAATTTATGAATATTGATAACAAAAGCAGGAACAATAATTGCTACCTCAGAAAAGCATGTTTAGGAAAACTAAAATTATGGATTAATCGATGTTTTGACAGCACTTATTAATAACTTATTGAGTTAACCTAATTAGATTAGCTAGAAAGGACAGTACATAATAATATAATGGATAAGATTTTTCAATTTGGTAAATCATGAATACTATATAGCATCGTGAGCAATCAGCCTTTTTCATTATCACAGATTGACTGCTCACGATGTTATATCATCCACAATGAAATTTCTTCGATGCTGTTGCCATGTTTATGTGTTAAAATCCACTGCCATATGCCGGTGCCCAGTAATCAGCTCCGTTTTCGTTTCCAACATGCTGGGTACAAGACACAGGAACCAAGCACAACCCTCTACTCCTCAAGTCCTTTGGCTTATCTTTTGCATCCTGATTAATGATTAATAAATAGATAAACACATGATTATGTATGGTAATCGATATTTTATATGAAAAGAGAGTAATGAATGAAATATGATGAATATAATGTGTTATTATCATTAATTAATGCAGAGTGAATAGTTTTGGCTGGCCATGCATGCATGTTCTGCATAATTATGCAGGTAATTGTGATAATGAGAATAATGATTAGGATGAGTAAACGAAAGAGATAATAAGCGTGGTAAAAGGGTTTGCATAAAAAGAAAGAATACCTGGTTTGGAGCTCCCTTTCTTTTCAGGCCATTGTCATTCAACAGCTAGATGGAAATAAAAAGAGGGAAGAAAAAGTATTAGGAAAATCAGTTCTCTCTCCAAGCTTTTTGACTTCAAATGGGAAATGCAGCGTCGCATTATACTTTTCACTTGCTTTAAAAAGATGATATAAAAAGCTGAGAAACCTTGTTATTTTTTTGTGGCTTTTCCCTGATTAAATATTAAGTAATAATTACAAAGAGCCTCCTAATTTGATTGTAATGAATTGATGGATCCAATAAAGCATACCTGACCGGGGTCCTCAGGAAATACAGAATTTCTTTCTCCATGTACCTGTTGCTTAAAAAGAAAATAAAGAAAAGAGGAAACTTTCCCTTCAATTATATGCCTTAGTAGGTATTTTTGTCCCACTCAAATGTGTTTGTTAGAGTTAACAAGAAAGAGAGAGACTTTGAAAAGTGGGTACTTACAGACTGTGGATTCCTCATGTTTTTTGATCCATTGCCCAAGTAAGGAGAACTGAGAGCCTGCAAGCAAGAAGGAAAAAGAAAAGGAAAAAACAACAAAAGAATGTTATGGAGAGAAACATTAAAATTTGTGACACTTTAAATGCATGCTCTATGACTAACTCTCAATATAGCTTGCAGTGTGTATAAAATATGAGGGAGAAACATCACCTCAATTTGACCCTGAAGGAATCTTATGTATCCAATGGCTTCTAACAAGACAGAAGCCGTGTCAGTCTGCAAAAGTGAAACACACACACACCCCACAACCACAGCACCGGTCATGTGTCTCTTTTAAGGTTAGAAATGAGATTACGATAAATGGGGAAAGAGAAAGTAAAGAGGAAGACAATAGCTGGAGTGATATATCATAAAGGTTCTGTTCATCACCACTAAAACCAAACACACAAGACGCTTGTAATAATTATGGTTCATAGTTTTTGTATTTAGCCATGAGTTTCTTCTGTTCCTATACTGATTGGAGTCTTTTGTTTATTACCTTTCCGAATGGGGAAACTAGCTGGTGAAGGGCTGTTATTCTATCACCTAGCTTCTCCTTTCTCACCTGATTAAGAGATACTGTTAGTTCATGAATTTTCATGTTTTTCTCTCTTTCAACTATCATGCATATAGAGAGAGACAACACAAACAAAACAACTTCTCAGTAACTCTATCTCTTTGTAGTTAAAGATCACCTTGAGAGGTGGTTGGCTTGAAGATGGTTGACACTTAGTCTTCTTGAAAACTCCAGCGCTTGCTGTGGTATTACACTTGAAGAAAACAAGAGACAGACACCATGAACAATAAATTATTGCTATATATATATATATATATATAATCTATGCATATGTTTAAATTAGTATATATAAAATAAGAACATGAGTGTTACCTCGGATGTGTGATCTGGTAGTTGGTTCTTCCTATGATCTTCCTTGTTATAAGTGAAATCCAATAAATTATTACTACTGAAGCTAGCAACAACACTAGACATAGGAGAAGAAGAAACAGGCACCATGTGTGACCAAGGAGCTCCAGAAACCTGAAATTCCTGATCATGTCCTTGGTGATAGAAGCTGCCACTTTGGGAAACCTCTTGCTTTATTACATCTACCATAGGATTTATGGGGGGTGGATTAAGCATGTGCTCATTCCATTCATCCAACTTTTTCGATTGAAAATGACTGAATGCCACTCTTTCCTCCTCTCCCGGTAAACCAGTGCTGCAAAACAGGCAAAAAGAAGAAGAAAAACCTCAGTGATTAAGGTAAAACAGTAGCTGGTATAATGAACAGTTTTTGAAACAGTGGAAAAGAGAAAGTGGAAGATGTGTATTGATGAAGAAGGCATGCACAAAAAGAGAGAGAAAAAGTGCTTACAAAAGAAGTTGGCTCAACGAGGGAGGAGGCTCATGATCAGGGTTTTGTGTGGAAGAATTGAAAGGTATTGAAGAAGATCCAAGAACATACTGGGGAGGGATCAAAGATGGTGGATGAGTAGTCCACCAGTTAGGGTTGCCAGCCATCATTGGCTGAGAAGAAGAGAAAAATGTTTAATACTGAATTGTTGGGATGCAAATGAAGAAGTAGGAAATGAAATATTTAATCTCCTTTTTCATATACTTTTGGTGTTTCACCTTTGTGATATTTCCTTGTATGTGCAACCAAACAAGGGTTTGGGTAAAGCTTAGAGTTAGTGTTTTGGTTTGTTACTAGGTGTTGAAGAAACTTAAAGTTATGGGGTCTCAGTATTTTATAGAGTTGAGGTTGAGAAACTTTGCATATGTTACTTTTTCTTTCCTTTGTTTGATTTATTCAGTATTCCTTTTTATTATAAAGTGGAACGCAAAAGCTGGTGGGCAGTGTTTTAAGACTATAAATTAATGGTTGCTCAGAGTTATTTCCTTAATTTGGGGTTGCACCTTGGGATTGTTTTTGGGGTAGCTAGGGTTCTAGTAGAGGTAGGGCATAATAGTAGTGAGATCAATGTCAGATGCTTTATTTATTCCCTAGACCAATAATTCACTTTAACAAACAAAACTACAGAATCTAAGAACCTCATTACAATAACAACACCAATATATACAACTCCATCATCAAAATATCCTCACTTCCACCTTCTCTGTAACTTCACTGCTAAACACATCATCAACATTCTCAGATCACAACAAGACTCAGTTAATGTTTCTCTTTCAAGGCTTTATGATTTCAACAATATTTGATTCAAGAAACTAAAAATCACCTTATAATATCTTTCAATGTCACTGTAAGTCCACAACGATTAGAAATAAAATTAATTTAAAATATATAAATTAGTATAAATCTCATCTTTCAAGTTGTTAAAGTTAATTTTATAAGATTAAATTAAACTTAAAATTTATTTTTTAATACAGTATCAGACTCAAATTAGAACCAATCTTAATAATATATCTATATAAGTGGTAAAGTCCATCTCTTAACAATTATACAATTATTTGAGACATTATACATAAATTATAATTCATTTTCCTTTACCATGTATAATCTTTTTGCTTTACATCAATTTGGTGATTGTCAGAAAATCATTCGTTTGATATTTCGATCAAAGCTTAATTATTTGGTAGACATATGAATCTGAATTTTACCGAACAAACAAAGCTTTACTAAGACAGATTTATCTTTTACAAAAATTGGCAAGACTTTAAAGTTTGTCGAATTAAAAACCTACTTTATAAAAAGGTAGCCTTAAATTGAACTAACTATAGTATATATGCATATACATACATATATATATATATATATATATATATATATANTTTGATTGTAATGAATTGATGGATCCAATAAAGCATACCTGACCGGGGTCCTCAGGAAATACAGAATTTCTTTCTCCATGTACCTGTTGCTTAAAAAGAAAATAAAGAAAAGAGGAAACTTTCCCTTCAATTATATGCCTTAGTAGGTATTTTTGTCCCACTCAAATGTGTTTGTTAGAGTTAACAAGAAAGAGAGAGACTTTGAAAAGTGGGTACTTACAGACTGTGGATTCCTCATGTTTTTTGATCCATTGCCCAAGTAAGGAGAACTGAGAGCCTGCAAGCAAGAAGGAAAAAGAAAAGGAAAAAACAACAAAAGAATGTTATGGAGAGAAACATTAAAATTTGTGACACTTTAAATGCATGCTCTATGACTAACTCTCAATATAGCTTGCAGTGTGTATAAAATATGAGGGAGAAACATCACCTCAATTTGACCCTGAAGGAATCTTATGTATCCAATGGCTTCTAACAAGACAGAAGCCGTGTCAGTCTGCAAAAGTGAAACACACACACACCCCACAACCACAGCACCGGTCATGTGTCTCTTTTAAGGTTAGAAATGAGATTACGATAAATGGGGAAAGAGAAAGTAAAGAGGAAGACAATAGCTGGAGTGATATATCATAAAGGTTCTGTTCATCACCACTAAAACCAAACACACAAGACGCTTGTAATAATTATGGTTCATAGTTTTTGTATTTAGCCATGAGTTTCTTCTGTTCCTATACTGATTGGAGTCTTTTGTTTATTACCTTTCCGAATGGGGAAACTAGCTGGTGAAGGGCTGTTATTCTATCACCTAGCTTCTCCTTTCTCACCTGATTAAGAGATACTGTTAGTTCATGAATTTTCATGTTTTTCTCTCTTTCAACTATCATGCATATAGAGAGAGACAACACAAACAAAACAACTTCTCAGTAACTCTATCTCTTTGTAGTTAAAGATCACCTTGAGAGGTGGTTGGCTTGAAGATGGTTGACACTTAGTCTTCTTGAAAACTCCAGCGCTTGCTGTGGTATTACACTTGAAGAAAACAAGAGACAGACACCATGAACAATAAATTATTGCTATATATATATATATATATATAATCTATGCATATGTTTAAATTAGTATATATAAAATAAGAACATGAGTGTTACCTCGGATGTGTGATCTGGTAGTTGGTTCTTCCTATGATCTTCCTTGTTATAAGTGAAATCCAATAAATTATTACTACTGAAGCTAGCAACAACACTAGACATAGGAGAAGAAGAAACAGGCACCATGTGTGACCAAGGAGCTCCAGAAACCTGAAATTCCTGATCATGTCCTTGGTGATAGAAGCTGCCACTTTGGGAAACCTCTTGCTTTATTACATCAACCATAGGATTTATGGGGGGTGGATTAAGCATGTGCTCATTCCATTCATCCAACTTTTTCGATTGAAAATGACTGAATGCCACTCTTTCCTCCTCTCCCGGTAAACCAGTGCTGCAAAACAGGCAAAAAGAAGAAGAAAAACCTCAGTGATTAAGGTAAAACAGTAGCCGGTATAATGAACAGTTTTTGAAACAGTGGAAAAGAGAAAGTGGAAGATGTGTATTGATGAAGAAGGCATGCACAAAAAGAGAGAGAAAAAGTGCTTACAAAAGAAGTTGGCTCAACGAGGGAGGAGGCTCATGATCAGGGTTTTGTGTGGAAGAATTGAAAGGTATTGAAGAAGATCCAAGAACATACTGGGGAGGGATCAAAGATGGTGGATGAGTAGTCCACCAGTTAGGGTTGCCAGCCATCATTGGCTGAGAAGAAGAGAAAAATGTTTAATACTGAATTGTTGGGATGCAAATGAAGAAGTAGGAAATGAAATATTTAATCTCCTTTTTCATATACTTTTGGTGTTTCACCTTTGTGATATTTCCTTGTATGTGCAACCAAACAAGGGTTTGGGTAAAGCTTAGAGTTAGTGTTTTGGTTTGTTACTAGGTGTTGAAGAAACTTAAAGTTATGGGGTCTCAGTATTTTATAGAGTTGAGGTTGAGAAACTTTGCATATGTTACTTTTTCTTTCCTTTGTTTGATTTATTCAGTATTCCTTTTTATTATAAAGTGGAACGCAAAAGCTGGTGGGCAGTGTTTTAAGACTATAAATTAATGGTTGCTCAGAGTTATTTCCTTAATTTGGGGTTGCACCTTGGGATTGTTTTTGGGGTAGCTAGGGTTCTAGTAGAGGTAGGGCATAATAGTAGTGAGATCAATGTCAGATGCTTTATTTATTCCCTAGACCAATAATTCACTTTAACAAACAAAACTACAGAATCTAAGAACCTCATTACAATAACAACACCAATATATACAACTCCATCATCAAAATATCCTCACTTCCACCTTCTCTGTAACTTCACTGCTAAACACATCATCAACATTCTCAGATCACAACAAGACTCAGTTAATGTTTCTCTTTCAAGGCTTTATGATTTCAACAATATTTGATTCAAGAAACTAAAAATCACCTTATAATATCTTTCAATGTCACTGTAAGTCCACAACGATTAGAAATAAAATTAATTTAAAATATATAAATTAGTATAAATCTCATCTTTCAAGTTGTTAAAGTTAATTTTATAAGATTAAATTAAACTTAAAATTTATTTTTTAATACAGTATCAGACTCAAATTAGAACCAATCTTAATAATATATCTATATAAGTGGTAAAGTCCATCTCTTAACAATTATACAATTATTTGAGACATTATACATAAATTATAATTCATTTTCCTTTACCATGTATAATCTTTTTGCTTTACATCAATTTGGTGATTGTCAGAAAATCATTCGTTTGATATTTCGATCAAAGCTTAATTATTTGGTAGACATATGAATCTGAATTTTACCGAACAAACAAAGCTTTACTAAGACAGATTTATCTTTTACAAAAATTGGCAAGACTTTAAAGTTTGTCGAATTAAAAACCTACTTTATAAAAAGGTAGCCTTAAATTGAACTAACTATAGTATATATGCATATACATACATATATATATATATATATATATATATATATATATATATATATAACATAAAAAAAATATTACTGTTTTTTTTAAGAAAAACTTATTCTGAAGGATAAATTTTTTTATTATCCTTGTTTTTATTTACTTTTTAATTAGTGATTTTAATAATTAATTCGATTAAAGTTAAATAAAGGATGAATGTAACTCATTTCAGAAATTCATGACAACATTTGTTTCTTCTTGTTGTATTATATGCGTTCATAATAATAAGTCGATTTATGTTAGGGTTTGTTTCAAGATTCGAAGTGTGACACCTTTAATTAAATAAATATTTTATTTTTTAAAAAAGTAGAGTGGGACCTTTTTAATAAATTGTCTAGGTCAGGTGACAAGTTTTGATATGCATTTTGACCTATCTTCATTTGATCAAGTTGAAGAGAAAGGAATGAATATTTTAAAAGTATAATATCATAATTGCTCATTTTTTAAGGGAGCAACTAGCAGGTTTCAGTATTCTAAAAATAATGATTAAAATTAAAAAAATCTAATGTCACTACATACTTTTTTTTCACAGTTAAAAATAAAAATAGTATTTTCTTCAAATTTAAATTTTAATAATTTATGCAAGTTCGTTATAAATTTTAGTTGTAAAAATTAAATATTTATCGTGTATACTAAAATACTAATTTAAGTCAATTTGAATAAAATATTATTACTAAACACAGTTAAATAGACAAAAAATTATTGTTGATAAGAATTAATAGACAAAAACTTAAAAAAATTGACAACAAAATTAAAATTTAAAGAGTATTTTGTCATGCATATTGCGTAAATTAAAATACTAGTAATGTTGTTCGAAGTCTATGTCACTTTAAGGTCAATTTAGATATATAAATGGGTCTAATATTCGATATACTAAATGTTAGATAAATGGGTCTATGTTGTTCAATTTACATATAAGGTCAATTTATGACTTATTTAATTGAAATTTAATTTATTAATCCTAAAAAAAAGTGACTTTTGATTTTAGTTTTGTATATAAAAATAATTATTCCTATAAAATTTGAATCGATTTTTTTTTCTTTAAAAAATGTACAAAATTTGAAATCACTCTAAAATATTTATCTGATTTTTATGTCTTTAAAATTTAGATCATATTTGGTCCTAATATTCATTTAAACATAAACGAATAGCATTTATTTTGTTAAGTGACACATACGAATATTATCATATAATATACTACAAGGATAAAAAAAAATACTATTTTTCAATTTTAGAAAGACCAAATATAAAGGAAAAAAATCACAGATATTAAAATTAGCTCATTTTACATTGAATAAAAAATATATATTTTTTTAAAATTATTGAAATCCTCAAAATAATATTTATGTTACAATTTTTTCCAAAATATGCCATGTGTATCAATGGCAACCAATAATTAACCTCCGTCCATGAAAGCCTATACCTTTTTGTCCCTATTATATTCTATTTTTGATGAATACCTAAGCTCCACCAATATTTGCATATGTTTATAAACATTTGAGACATTTACTAAATTATTTTTAATTCTAATATTAAATTTTCATTTATATTTATCTTTTGAAAAAATATGCTTTAACACAAAAAATTTTATATTCATTTGATTTCACTATTTTTTTTAGTTTTTATTTTTTTTCTTTTTTTAAAAAATATAAATAATTTATTTTTTATAACTTTTATACTGAATGAACGTAAAAGTCATTCTATTATTATTCTTTATATTAAGACTTTCTTTTAAACAGTGGATTTAATCAAATTTTCAGACAAAGAAAAACAAACAGTATTTAGGTTTTTCAACTTTTTGCTACATAGGAATCTGATCTGATGAGTGAATTTGATCTAAGGATTCTGCCGACATGATGTTCGATACTAAGCATGCGCAAGCTAGCTAGGTCCAATTTGCAATGCTTATGTTGTTTGATAGGCAAGATTTTGTGAAAACCATATAGATATGGCAGCACCTTCATATTCATGTACTAGGAATTATTTCACACTTGAAGAATCGATGTTATTTGAAGAATACTTTTTGTGATTATGGTTTTGGACAAAATGCTACTCCTTATTGTTTGAGTTCTTTTGGTCATTTTTTGGAACTTAACTTCGTTGTGTTGTGATGTCACCTAAATAATTTGACACTAAACAAGCTTTTGCATGTGATAGTTTTGGTATAATTTGAGACAAACACCACTCAGCGAGTTCCGACCAAAAAATCAGGAACTCTGTGCACTATGATCCAAAAATGGGAAAAGAATGTGAGAGATGCAGAACAAGGAAAATTACATTTACCAAACGCCAAACAACAAGTTTTAGATCGATACCAGCACATGGCCTTGTACGTATATACGTGTTTTTTGCTCCTATAATGTGTATATATATGTTTATACTTCTTTCTCTGACTTGTAATAACATAAACAGATTCACCCAAACCAGAAGCAAGTATTTAGTTAATGAATAATTGCACCGTAATTAAACTTGTAAAAACGTAATTAGGTGTCAGATAAGGTGGTTGGGACTTCTTTAATAATCAGAGATGTATCGTATCGGTCATACGAACCAACGAACAACCGGTTACGATAATAATGAAACTGGACGGCATCATCACAAGATCTTAAGGACAACTCTTAATCAAGTTTATTGGTAAGTTCTACTTATTAAGAAGATGAGCTGTAATTACGATTTTGTTAATTATAAGTTCATTTAAGTACTTATAAATATAGGTTTATAAGGAGATAAGTGATGACATTTATTGTGAATTTAAGATTTTACTGTTACTTTTGATCGGATTAATCACTAACTTGAGTGTTGAAATGCTTTTGATAAATACATCCGGACGATTTGGAGCTTAAACAAAGAATTATTGAAACTAATAATGTTCTGTACGACCTAAACTAACTTGAAGAAAAGTGTGAAAGAGTGTATCTGTAGATATTTGACCTTATACCCTAAACAAAATATATCGAAATATCTTTTACAGGTATTTTTTAATAAATCCTAAAAGTCTGATGGATCGATAAATTATGAAAAGATTATAAGAGCCAATGATTAATAAAGTAATAATCAGCTTTGTAAGTAAGAACATTTATAAACAGTGTGTGTGAAATTATTAGTGACGTGAGTCTCATAGTATACGGAAGTTGGTCTAGTGTGCATCTTTTGCAAGAACATTTTTTTTATGCACATTAAGAATCCATGAAAAGGAAAGATGATAACCTCATACAAGGTAAAAGGAAAAGAAAAAGAGGTTTGGCTCATCACAGCATTTTACACTGTTGAACAAAGGTTATGAATTGAACATACCACATGTCATATGTATGGATGATTATTAGAAGAAGGGATAAGAATTGGATCAGATGGATTCCTTTTGACCATTGGTCTTCCACTCAAGAATATTCAATAATAACCAGAAAGTTTATGCCTCTCCAACGGACCAGAAGCTAAGTGATATCTGTCAACCCCTTTTTAATCAATGTGAACTTTTGCTTAATCATGCACGGAAACAACAAAAATGATAAAGGAAAAGAAGAAAAAGGGTTGAGACTGAGTTTGACACCTTGTTGATTTTGTTTCTTGTTTTCCCTTTTTTGTTGTTGATCTCTCTTATCACAAATAATTTTTAAGCTTAGTCCTGCTTATTATGACCGCAAATTTTGAAGTCAAAAGCTCCATCGGGTGGTTTCTGTGTCAAGAAATATTCTGGTCAAATATTCTATCCACAACCTTTATTTGAAAAAGATAATCCGAATTAATTGAACTTTTAACCCTTTTTTTTCTCAATGAAAGATTCATCACAGACATTGTAAGAGTGAGAGAAAAAAAGGATGAGACATGAGCAAGATGCACTGTAAGATATTAAAGCAGTATACTCCAATTCATATCCCACAATTCAATTATTTGAGGTGACTTGAAAAACAAGCTTTAGACATTCTTATGTGTACATCACAGACCAAAGATGATTTCCCATTACTTTCACT